TCCTCCAGAGAACTCGGTTCGTCTTTTTTGCTTTTTAAACGTCGAGAAGAGTCGTAGGGACAAAAAAAGAATCAAAAAAGGAGAAAGGGTTCAACACTTGTTCGTTTCCAAGCATAACTTTGCTTGCTTGTTCATTCGTTCGTTCGTTCGTTCGTTCGTTCATTCATCGTCATCGTTGCGAACGATGAAACTTTACTGCCGTAAAATGTATTTTTATCATCTACGATATACATGAGTTTTTTCTTTCCATTCAAGTGTATATGTATGAGTATGAGTATGCACCAATGAGAAGGGGAAAAATGTTAAACAAATTCGTCGGGAATCTTTTCTACCAACACCTGAAAGATTTGTCGCTTAGGGTTAGGGTTCCTATGAATGCGCATTAACCCGACACTCTAATTAACATCACTAACCAAAGCAAATCCTTTTCGTTCAAATGACTTGCCTTATACATATACATATACATATACATTCATGTGTATGTATGTGTGTGTGTGTGTGTGTGTATTTATATGATACGTTGTAACATGCTACGAGAAAGTTACGCGTCACGCAATGAAAATCGTTTTAAATATCACCATAAACGACGATGGTATATCACTTTTTACACTTCACCTTTTCTATTATGAATGATTTCAAAATTATTATTAAAAAAAAAAAAAAAAAAAAGAAGAAAAATAAGAACGGAAAGTTTGTTCGATAAAATTGTTTTTCAAGAAAATCGATCACACGTTTATCTTTTAATCCTTTCTCTCTTACTCCCACACTTTCTTGCGCTCTCTCTCTCTCTCTCTCTCTCTTTCTTTTTCTTATTATCGTACTTTCCTCAGTACCCTCCCACCTCTCACCCCCTAATCGTGTATATCAATTTACGAGCTCGTTAATATTTTCACCCAAAAACCGCAGCGTTCACTTTTCTCATTAATTTCTTGGCTCGTTAAATTAACGAGGATCCATAAATCGCGTCCACTTACATGTAAACCTTTTCAAATGTCTGCTTTAATTAATGAGATTGTATTTATACATATGCATACTTTTAATTCGAGGGAGGCAGGGGGGGGCGGGGGCGGGGGTTGTGTTAAGATTTTAACGAGAAACTTTCTTCAAATGTTTTCACACATCTTTTTGTTTTTCTTTTTTTGTGTGTTCACGGTTTGCATATATCTATCATTTACTTTTTACAATGATTTCATCTATCCTAGAGTAGTCATTAGAAGTTATATATATATGTAAGTATGTAAGTAAGTTAGTACGTATGTTAAATATGGTTTGAAAGATAGCGTGATGTTTGGTAACAGAAATATGGAGAAATACTGAGTACGCGTTATTATTATTCAAGTTTTAATATCACAGTTATTTCATCTGAATGTTGTTGTACAGACGTATGTTCTAATCAGTGTAATCGTTTTATCGCGACCGATTACTTTTTCAAAGACATAGAATTTAATCGGAGGATGCTGTTACTACTGCTGCTGTTGCTACTGTTACTGTACTTAAATTATTACGAAGAAAATGTAATAATGATCATCTTATATATATATATATATATACATATACATATACATTTGAAAATGTGACTGTACGAATGTTACTTTTTATTTCTATTTTTGTTATTACATATGACACGCGAATATCTAACGTGAACACAAACATAAAAACAATAAAAAGAAAAATGTTAAGAGAGTAGTGTATATGTACTTATTAAGTTACATACTACCTGTTCATTAGTAAGATAACACAGATTCATAGATTATTGCAATTTTTTTTATTCACTTCTGTTTTGATCTTTTCTCTTTTTTTTTTTGTTTGGGTTTGTAAGAAAAATATATGTTCTTGAAATATATAAATAATTGTCATGAAAAGAAATATGTTATTTTATTTTATTATTAGTAATAATTAATGTAATATAATATATAATATTTTATATATTTTATATAATAATATTTTATTATTAGTAACAAGTAATACACTAATGTTATTGAATTTTATTATTAGTATTAACTAATAACTAGTTTTCTATTTTTTTTTTAATTTTTTTTTTTTTTTAAATGATTCAAGGACGTTGATATTGATCTCTAGAAAGATGGATGAACGCATGGTCAATTTTAATCGAGTATTAAGGTCAACGATTGGCCCGATTGGGTTCACCACCAGTTGTTGTCCTGGTGCTCAGTTAATAACTTAATGACGGGAATTCACCACTTACGTTCTATTTTTTGTTTTAACCTCTTTCCCTTCTTCTTCTTCTTCTTCTTTTTCTTTTTCATCTTCTCCTCTATCTACAATTCTTTCCTTCCTTTCTTCACTTTTATCCACTTTTACTTTGATTGGCAATACTAACCGAGTAAAACGATATCCACTTGGCAAATGGGAAACAACAATGTTGAAAATTGGATGATCCTTAAGTGGAATATCCATTAACATTTATTGCATTGAATGAACTGCTTACGATCGTTAAATTTATGTAATATATATATAATAAATGATATACACTAACAATCAAAAGTTTGGAAACATTAGTTGACTGTCATTTCATTTTATTTCATTTCATTTTATTTTATTTCATTTTATTTCTTTTTTTATTTGTACATGTAAAAATACAATTTGAAAAATCAAATTCATTATTTGATAATAAAAATAATACAACATGTAAAATATATTACTACCAAAATTTATCGTTGATTAATAAATTAATTTTTTATAGTCAAAAGTGTTTTATATTAAATTATTTTCTAAATTATTCCATTAATTTTTTTTTTTTATCCTGAATTTTAATAATTCATTATTCAAACTTTTATACGATAATGTACGTAAATATACTTACACGTATATAGATATTTCAATGTATTCACATTAATTCGATATATTCGAGATTATTGGATCGTTTAAATTCCCATGCAAGATCGTATCGATAATTATGCTAATGGCAAAAACATAGAATATAATCTGCAATCGAATTAATACAAGCCTTGTACCATGATAATTCTTTTTTCATTTTCTATGGTACATATATATATATATATATACCTCTCTTTCAAACGCATTTTTTTTCAAGGATGGGAAAATAAAATGAAATGAAATAAAAAAAGAAAAAGAAAAAATAAAACAATGTAATCGATCTTCTTCCAAAGAGTTGGAATTGGAAATGCTTTGCGCATTTCAATGGGAAACTGATCTTCAATCCACCCCCTTTGAACCCCTCTATCACCCTCTCATCATTTCTCGAAAGAATACTCATCGACGTCCTTCCCGACGGTTTCTCAGATAATAACAGGAAGTTATTACTTGACGATCACGAATCGTCATCATCCCGTGGATAATTATTATTCATCGTCAATGTAACAATGCCATGTTGTTCTATCAACGTTAGAACGAATTTTAGATTTATTTTTATTTTATGATCCTTAATAAGTGGCAACGTCATTATAAATTTATTAAAGATATAAAAGTATCAATTTATTTTACGTTAGTTAATATAATTATTTATTTATGTTTTTTTTTCTAAATAATAATGCAAATAATGATTAATTGGTGTTAGGAAATTGAGAGTTCATTGTGATGCAAGTAATAAAATAAAAATAATTATAATAAAATAATAATAAAATATATATTAATAATTAGTTATATATATATTTTATTATATATAAATTACGTGTCATGTTGTTTGTCCGCAATGGACTCCTAAACTACTTAACCGATTTTAATAAAATTTTACATACTAAATGCAATTTCATTTAACTTGAAAGATAGGATAGTTTATATCTCAATTTATAGTCACAATGCAATGCGTGGCAGGGTACCCCTATTATATATAATAATTAGTTTTTTATTAATAAAAAAATATTAAATATATATATATTTATTTATATTTTATATTTTATTATTAGTAATAAATAATTTATATCCATTTACAAATGTGCGGATACGTGTTTTTAATTTAAAAATACTTTTTTTTTTCTAGTATTGCACTAATAATAAAATTAAATAATACATAATATATATAATATAAAAATAATTATAATAAAATAAAATTAATACATATTGTTTTAAGATTTAAATGACAATAACAAAAAAAAAATAAATGAAAAATTCAAATTATTTTTGTTCTAACTTTGATACTTTATAATCCAAGAAATAAATTCAACGAATTTTCTAAAAAATTAGTTAGTGGTGTGATTGTAAAATGTGGGTTCTTTCAAATGCAAAATATGATAAATGTGGTTCTGATTTTGTAAGATCAAACAACGAATCGTCTTTTCAACTTCCATTAAAGTCACTTTCATGGACTTCCAATTTATTGTCTTATACGGTTACGGGTATCATCCCTATTCCACTAACTGAAATCAATTAAACGCTCGAGTGGTAGCTTCGCTTCGATAATTTCTGTCTGCTGTCCGTGTTCGTTCAAGCAAAAAGGTTCTCTCTCAATCGAAAAAGAGTTTCGAGTGATGCAGTTGTTGATAGTAGGTGGATGGGTGGTTAATGGTGATGGTGGTTGTGTGATAGTGGGTGGGTAATGGTAGTGGTGGTGGTGGTGGTTTTCTGCTTTACTTTTACGTTTCCTTCTGCAAAACTCGATTCAAATGGTGCACGTGCTTTGTTTTTAGATAATACTTTTTATCCATCGGAAATTCGTGAAAAAGCACTCGATTAAAATCTACGACTTTTATCTGCAAAACTTTTTTCTAATTTTATTTTATTTTCTTTTTTTTTCTTACTTCATTTCTTTTATTTCTTTTTTTGTTCTTATGTGTGAAAAAAGTTAAAATTTCCCCTCCCCCTTTTTCTATCAAATCTAAAAAAAAAAAACACATTTTATTTAATCTAAAACAAAACGGCGCTTTTTATGTAATTGAGTTTAACGTTAATCAAACAATTTGACCAATTTTAAACAATTGATTTTATACCATCGCGTGTCTTACTCTTTTTGCTACTGTAAAATGCTGAGCCAAGTTTTACGTAATCCAAGGAAGAAGTTTCTTCAGTATTTTTCTTATCACTCGAAACAGTACGTTTGTTCGCTCAGGTACAATAGAACATACATAGTGCAACTTTATCAACGTCAATTTGTTAATGTCAAATTTCAACGTCGTGATTATTTATTTCTTTATTTTTACAAACGATTTTTCACGTAGATTTTTCGAGTATTAATTGTTTGTGATAAGAAAGTTGATTGTACGAGACAAAATAATGGATGTGAGTGTTGTGTTAGAACAATTTCTTTTTATAAACCAATTTATTTTGAATAATGTTGAAAGATATATTTTTATATTGTAAAATATAATAAATAAAAATAAAATTAAATTATTTAGTTAAATAATTAATTACAAATAAAATTTAATTATTAAATTATTGTTAACACATTAAACTATGTTGAAACATATTTTTTTATATTAAAAAAAAAAAAAATAAATAAAAATAAAAAGAAATAATAAAATTAAATTATTAAGTTTAATTATTACTTTTAAATTTAATTATTAAATTATTATGAATATAATAAATTAAATTAATTCGAAAAAATAATATAAAAATAAACGCGTGTGATAAGAAAAAAATTCTGACAAGTTTTTTTTTTTTTTTATATTAAACCTGTGAGATATTTTGTAAATGCTAAAATGTTTGAACGTTTTAAAGAAGAAAATTGAATTGACAATAGAAGATACAATTTTATAATTTTACAGGAACAAATAACGGATAATACGACATCGACATTGCAATGGCCAGATTATTTAGTCCTTGGTACAGTCCTGTCGATTTCTGCCAGTATTGGGATTTATTATCGATTTACCGGTGGTCGACAACGAACAGCTGAGGTGGTTAACAGACAAGAAAATTAATTTCAACGTTGAAATGTTCCAGAAATCGATAGCTTTCTCTTTCTTCTTTCTTTTTTTTTTTAATTTTATTTCGATCAGATATAATTGATAATTCATGTTAAAATAAGTACAGGAGGTAAAAAAAAAAAAAAATAACAGGAGAGAGAAATACTTACGACGATAGATCGTTTTATGTTCCGCGTTCCCTTATCCATAACGATCTTACTCATGTAAAAGGATAAATATTATCAAGTATATAAATTAGCAAACTATAGATCGCCAGTAAATTATCACTTTTACCAATACAACCTTTCATACCACTGAGAGAAAACCATTTCCCAAATACTCCTGTGTGGACGTTAATTAACGCACAACTATATCATTACCATCTGATTTCTATATACGATAAATCTTGTGACCGGTATGAGAACTCTTGTTAGTAAAAGATAGATAGATATATAATATCATCGTTTATATATATATATATATATATTTTTTTTTTTGTTCTATTTAAATCACGTTTAAAACCTATATACAATTTTTTTCATATATATATATATATATAATCGAGATTTAATTTACGTAAAACCACTTACCAATCACATATGCTAATATAACTTGACTTAACCATGGATATTTATTTCAATATTTATCATGAAAATGAATATTGGGATTTCTAGCACTTGAATAAGCTATCTGGTGGCTAAATTCAGAACTAGAGCAGTAAGGAGGAATTTTGCTGACAACTGATTTAAACTACACGATATATAAATTTATATTGCTTGATTTTGTGCAAACAAATTTAAAAATTTCTTTCAATGTAAGTTTCATTTTATTTAATTTAATTACAAATAAATAATAATAATAATAATATAAATAATAAATAAAATATAAATAATAATGTTATACACATTAATTTTGGTTATACAAGTAATGCACAGCATCAACCAGTCTCTAGTTCATATTTTTGCCGCTAGGATAAACCACGCCCCTGCAAGAAATCCCAATACGTACTTATTATTTTTTTTTTTTATAATAAATATTGAATTTATATTAATTTGTTTATTTTTATTATATATTATTTAAATCGTTTATTTCTTAATTGTGTAACAAAATGATTAATTGTTATATTATATTATTTTATTATATGTAACAGGAATATTTCTCAGCTGATCGATCTATGAAAATCGTTCCATTGGCAATAGCATTGATGGTTTCCTTTATGTCCGCGATTACGTTACTTGGAATCAGCGCGGAAGCCTATACCCATGGTATGATGTTCATCGTGGTTTACATTGGCTTCGGTGTTGGAACGCCTATCACCATGTACTTCTACCTACCAGTCTTCTTTGAACTGAAAATCATGAGCGTCTTCGAGGTAATTGACGATGAACATTGAACGAACGAACGAACGAACGAACGAACGATCTATCGATCTATCGATCTTTTCTTCAGTATCATTTCGTCGAACCTGTATACGGTAGTTTCTTTACTACATGATCGTTCCTAAAAACTAAATAATGTCTTGGAATCAATGAATTTATTAATTTTGTTTCATTTTCATGTCAATTATTATTTTGATACAAAATTTTATTTAGTATATTAGGGGATTATTGTTTTTTTTAAATAATTTTTAGATTTTTATTTATATAATATTTATAGTTATTATTATTATTGGTGGTTATATTAATATATTTAATTATATTATATAATTAATTTTTTATTTAATTTTATATTTAATTTAATAAATAAAAAATAACATAATACAATATAAAGTGTATAATATAATACAATTATAATATAATTTAATATAAAATAATATAATTAAATATATTATATTATATAAATTATAAATATATTAATTACATTAATAATAATAATTATTATGAATAATTATCTTACTATAAACGTTATTTTTTGTGTTTAGATTATACCATTATTATATATATATATATATATATATATATAAAACACAAATAACTATCATCACAATTATATTTATTAAATACTAATTTTAAAATCTAACAAAAAGAAATGATCTTTCAAAAATTACTTTATACAAAATTAAATTAAAAATATCAAGATAATAATATTAACAAAAACACGTGCATAATTTCTTTTATTTAATTTTTCTTTATGATTTAATATTGTAACAGTATTTAGAAAGAAGATTCGGAGTAAAGGCAAGATTATTGGCAAGTATAGCAAACTTCGGCCATTTGACATTATACACGGGAATAGTTCTCTATGCTCCCTCATTAGCCCTAGAGGCAACCACAGGTTTGTCTTCTACCATGAGTATCATCCTGATCGGCGTGATCTGTACGTTCTATTCAACGATCGGCGGTATCAAGGCTGTATTGATAACCGATGTTTTCCAAGGTGTACTGATGTTCCTCTCAATATTTTGCATTATTACGATCGGTGCCGGTGACCTTCCTAACGGGCTTTACGATGTTTGGAACAGAGCTATGAAAGGTGGTCGCATTGATTTTACCTTGTAAGTATTTCCTTTCTTTTTCAATCTTACTTTGAATCATAATTAATTATTTTACAAATAAAATAAAAATATAATAATCCTCGGGTGGTCGTATTGATCTTATTATCGATATAAAAACTTACTATGATCGTTCGTCATATTATTAATAAAAAAAACGTATGGTTGGCTTGAACAGTTACAGTCTGGACCTTACTACACGTCACACATGGTGGGGTTTACTAACTGGCGGATGTTGCATGTTCCTGTCACTTTTTGCCGTCAATCAGGTGCAGGTGCAACGTCTGTTGACCGTCAAGTATGAGACTTAAATTATTGATCATTCCGAATCCATAACAAATCGTAAATAGTTAATCTCATTATGTATGATATGCCGATATAATACCGTTCGAAGATACAGATTAAATCTAAACGAATAGTTAAGATACTTGGCTACGGGTAATTAGTATCAACCCCTTTTCAAGATATCCTGAGATACAACATGGTATGTTGATTCTATCTAAAAAAAAAAAAAAAAAAAATAATAAGAAAGTTGAGATATGATAGATTGCAAGTTACAATTAGTAGGTAAAACCGCTATTGAATTCTGATTTCTGATCAAAGATAAACATCGGTTTTTCCATCTTCCCTTTAACGTAGTTGGCTTTTATAAATACAACTGTTGATTTACTGTTCCGAATTATTCCTTGTCTGGTAAGGAATGCCTTCCGCAATTTGCTCCGGTTATAAGTAGGTATCTGGTATCTGTTAGAATGTTGCAAGAGATACCATTCTGAGAAGTAAGATTAATTCTATATCCAAAAATAGACATTTCCGATTAATCTACAAGATACAAACTTAAAAAAAGAAAAAATCTATTAAACATTTTACTAATATTTTGTGATTATATTTGTAGAAGCTTGAGGGATTCCCGATTAGCTCTGATATTGAACTGGCCAATAATGTTGGCCTTGGCAACCATCACCATATTCTCGGGTCTCGTCATATACGCCATTTACGAAGATTGCGATCCAGTTAAATCTGGAAGGATATCATCGTCCGACAAACTCATGCCACTTTTCGCAGCTGAAAGATTATCACGAGTACCAGGATTCACAGGATTATTCGTAGCTGGTGTATTCAGTGCAAGTCTCAGCACGATTTCAGCAATGTTGAACTCACTTTCAGCGGTTGCTTTAGAGGATTACATCAAACCGATTTATGCTAAAATCGGTATTACATTTCCTGAAGAAAAAGCTACGCTATTGGGCAAATTACTGGCTGTTACTAACGGATTGTCATGTATTTTTCTCGCATTGATCGCTGGAAAACTTGGCACATTGATCGAAGCAGCGATTGGATTGGTCGGTGTCATTGGTGGACCATTATTGGGTATTTTCACCCTTGGCATGTTTTTGGAAGATGCTAATGAAATTGGTGCAATCATTGGAATGACATCTGCCCTTATTTTGGGATTTACCATGGCTTGTGGTCCAAAAGAATCAGGAATTACATTACCAATGTCAATTGATGGTTGTGATAATTCAACTTTATCGATGTTAGATAAAACTATCGGATTAAATTCTACTCTAAGGTATGTGTGTGTGTGTGTGTCTGTGTGTGTAATTATTAACACATTCTTATGGTTATTATTATTATACTATTCATATTAAAATATTTCATTGGACGTATATATAATTAATTAAATAATTATGTTGGTAAACTGCTGATAGATAATTACATCGTTTCACTGAATAACATTACGTTTTAAAGAGATACTTGAGATTTTCCAGTAAATTTATTACACGGAGGAGTAACTTTCTGATTTCTTTTCTATCCTTCGACTATTAAACTCTCTCTATAATATATATATGTACATATAGATATATATGTATATATGTAGATATTTCTATATGTACGCTTCCGGTAGTAAATTGTAAGTTAATAACGACGAGAATAAATTTTAGATTAGCTTGTAACCAATGCAAATATATTAACTTACTTGCTTTCTCCTGATTTCAAATAATTTATCTAATAATTTATACATTATATGTATATATATATATATATATATATATATGTTATGTTTTCAGTAACGATTCGAGCGTGCCGTATTTAAATCGAATTTCCTACATTTGGTATCCCGTGATTGGATTCGTTTTGACGGTCATTATTGGATATTTGTCGAGTTTAATAATAAACAAATTTATGAAGGATAGACGGGAACCTGATCCTAATCTTTTCACTCCATTAGTGGCTGCTAGGATTAAAAGAAGACGTCAAGATGAACAAAGGGTTACATCAAGTCAAATGTTCGTCTTAGAACCGAATTATAGAAAATGAACGATTATAATAAACATTTATATTCATTGTGTTCATAAATTATAAATAATATCGATATAAATTGTTACAATGATCGCCCAATGAAATTAAATCAAGTTTTTCTTTTTTTTTTTTTTTTGGTACAATAATATCGTAACAACTGTTACAAATAAGTGCCAAAACAGTGAATGAAAGAAGAAGAAAATATCGAATTGTTTACAAAAAAAAGAAAAAAAATCGTAACAATGAAATCAGGCTAATTTGTCGACTGTTAAATTAGCCGATAGGTTGATCTCTCCGTTTTACATAATTACATTGACGCGTATCCTTTTCCGCCAATCATAGCTCGTTAAAGCTCAAACTGATGCAAATAACTCAAGTGTGTAAAAAGAAAATCTGCTACGGTTGAAGTAATAAAGTACAATTATATACTTAACATTCCTTCTTCTACTTCTTCTGTTACTTTTATTTTTTTCTTACCTTACTTAGTTTGTTATTTATGCGAAACAATTATTTAAAAAATAAAAAATGAAAAAAAAAAATAAAAAAAAATCACTTTACCTTTTACGATTACAATGATAATAATAATTTCTTTTCAACTAGTGAGAGAGGGGAATTTTTCATAAGTAAGATTGTTCAGAAAGGGACACACCTAAGTCGTAAGAATGAACAACACCGATGACTAAAACGACAAACAACCCTTAAAAAAAAGGGAGCGGCGTGAGAGAACGCATTTATGGGGTAATATCCTGTCTAACATTTTAAGGGACTTTTCCCTTACCCTACTGTATTCTTTATTACTCTTAAAATGATTAAATAATATTTTGTTTCTTTCCTTCATAAAATTGTCTGAAGAACATAAGTCCCCCCCAAAAAAAGGTTGAAACAAAAATTATTATTATTATTATTATTATTAATTGGCATTAACAACTTGACAGTTCATTAAAGCTGATAAAAAATTAATGACGAATATTCTAACGATCTACTTTAACAGATAAAGATGAAGATAAAGATAAAGATTGAAGAAATGGACAAAGATAGATGCATCGAAAAGTCTTCATTATCGTTTTGTCTCTCTCTCTCTCTCTCAGCTTTCATAAAAAAAAAATATTCTAATTGCAACATCAAAGAAGAATATCTTTTGTCCCTTTGCAATTCTCGGTGCATTCGAGAAAAGAAAGAAAGAAAAGAAAAAAAAAAAATCATTCGCGAGAGAGTCAGTCGAGTCGTCTGGAATTTCTGAAAGGCTTCTAATTGTTCGTGGCCGGTTGCTCGCGCACGTCTCTGTGGTTTAAAAAGAGAAAAACTATGAGAGAATGAATGAGAGAATGAGAGAGTGAGAAAGATTCCTTTCTTTCGAGAGAAATGGAGTGGTTTTCAAACACGAACGTGAACAGTCTTCTGTGGTTGGGTGACGCGGATATCCGTAAGCACAATGAGAGAAGAAGGGTCTATCCTCTCTCTCTCTCCCTTTTCAACGATCTATGGATCTAGGGATCTATGCGATATATACACGTTTCTGTATATATATGTGTAACATATATGAGAGAGAGAGAGAGAGAGAGAGAGAGGAAGGAAGGCACGCAACGAAAGGAGGTGAAGAGGGGAACGAGCAGAGAAGGATGAACGTAAATTCCTCATGAATGGTACGTTGACCAGCAGTTGAGTTCTTGCTGACATCTCGATTTCTACTATTCGCCACTGATTTACATTCAACTTTTTGCTAACGTTTTGGTTTATATTAGAATCTTTGGGATTTAGTTTCAATTATTATTATTATTATTACTTATTTGATTGAATTACTAATTATTTAGGAATTATTAAATGTGTTTGATAAGGGTGTATTAAATATTAGATTTTTATATTTTAATATAAATTAACACATTACAAATATAATATAACATATTATGTATATATATATATATAAATATCATATTAGAATATATTATATAATAACAATAACGCATATTAGAAATATTTGATAAGGTTAATAAAATTTTATTATTATTTTTATTATTATTATTATTATTATTATTATTGTTATTGAATTGATCTATTAACGATTTATACATTTTTCAAAATATATCAGTTATATCAAATATTAGATTTTTGTTTAATTCTAGATATGCAATTTTAAATATATAAAAAAAAGAAAAAAGAGAAAGAAATGTTTGGATAAAGAATTATCGATGCACTTTTGATGCATTTTGTTACCATCATTCCTATAAAAAAAAATATTTATCGTTTACAGTATTTTAACAATGTATTCCTTGATCCTTGATCCCCTATATACCCTTACTTATAGGAAGAAAAAAAAATAAAACGTTAGAACATCGTAGCTTGAAAAGAAAAATTGTTTAAGGGTGTGAGTGTCTTCCGCGTGGTTGCACTCACCTTATGGTGCAATGAACAATAGATCTGTTAGATCTGAGTTTGATACGTTCGACGCCTGGCGTGTGCCGACAAAGTAACGAACAAATGTGTCTTCTCGAAGAATAAAACGAAAACCTGGCCAATAGAAAATCGTAGCAGATGGTGGCAGAATCAGCTGCAGCAATTTTACGAGTTTCAAAGAAATATCTATTACTGAACGATACCTTTTCAATGTTTTCAGATCTATTTTCAGATAATATTACAAATAAGATGATTTTAATTTTGACAAATACATACGCTTATAAATTGTACGTACGATCAATACTCATTTAAAACACATAAATATTGCAGAATATATATATGTGTTAATCAATGATCATTACTATAAATATATAGGTAATAATAATAAATGTGATAATATGAGAAAGTATACGACACCTTTTAAGAAAAATCATTGATTGGTTCGACACATTATGCACATATGTATGTATCTACTCAGAGTGCTTACCGTTAACCTTGATAAAGGTCCCAAGAGAAATTTTAATGTACATTTTTGTATAATAAATGTCTCATAAAATGCGTTTCAAGTAAATACGATTGAACGAACGTTTATCTTCGATTCGGTCACGAGTGAATTTATTCTCGTGATGTTTTCGATGCTAGAATTCGATGTGGTATATTTTTTTATTTTTTTTTTTTTTTTAACGAGCTTGTTGAAAGAAAGAAAGAAAGAGAAAGAGAGAAAGAAAGAAAGAGAGACAAGGATCGATAACGATCTCACTATCGGTTATACGTACGAGGAACCGATTCTCGATCACTATACTCTCTTCCTTATAGTCATCGTTTCGCACACAGCTTCTTCGTAAATCCACACCGTTCGTACCGTTAATTCCGATATAAGAATTTCAAGAATTTCGTGATCGTTCTTCCTTTTGGCCATTTCTTTATTTTTCTTTTTTTTTTTTTTTTTATATATATATATCGAAAATAACGAACATAATTATTACGAAAAATCGTAAAAATATTTATCACTTAATTAGTGATTACCTTATATATATATTAAAGAAAATACTAATTAAGTGATAAATGTATTTATAATTTAATATATACATATATTTATGATATTTTATAATTATTTATAATATATTAATATTTATTAATATATTATAAATATTATATTAATATAGTATTTTATTAATATATAATATATATTAAATTATAAATATTACATATATATATTTCAATATTATATATTATTATGTATTATAAATATATATTAAAAATATATTATTTAATAAATATATATATTCATATAATTCATAGTACAAGGTGAGTTGCTTAGTTTGTTATTTTCTATTATATTTTTGTTTTGTTTCTCGTTAGAAGTGTTGCTGTTGGGCCTTTAGAAGATCCCATGGATCTGACATAAGATTGATATCGTATTTCCTATAATGCATAGCCGACAGAGTATCGTGAATTCTACAAAATTCATGGTGAATCGTGCACGAATAAGCAACCGTTTCGCATAGGTTATCATCAAAAAGAATTGAACAAAAATTTAGAGTATAATCAATCGGAAGAATAGAAGAGAATATTTTCTTTCGTTTTGTTTGCTTTCAATCATTCATCATTCATTTGATACACACAATACAGGTGTTGTTAATATAATAAACTCACCTATAACAAGATTAATAATTCGTTTCACGTTGCATTGAATATCGTGTTTTAATGTAAGTGAAATAATACGAATTGGAAAAAAAAAAAAAAAACAAGAATTCATTGCTATGACAATTTTGCTCATCAATTTGTTTTTGATCTAGTGAATCGAATGAGAATATTCGCGTATAATACGAATTGGCAAAAATATTTTTATCGTGACAAATTTTCATTCAATTTCAACACGTTCGTTGATCTCTCGTCAGACGAGTAGAAAAGAAAACAAAAAGAAAAGAAAAATACAACCAAAAATGGAATTTATTTATTTGTTTCCTTCCTCACCCTGTCCCAACCCCCCCTAACACTCCCATTGATGAAAAGAAAAAAAGGAGGAAAATAATGTTACCGGTTAAACTAAAATTCTACGTTCGTTCGATGGTTGTAGGTTGGTAGGGATGGGGTTCTCTGCATTTGCATAGATTTCCTCTTGGACTGGGTAAAACTTTGGTCCAATGTAAACATTCGGTGCATCCGTCTCTATCGCAACAGAAACACGTTTCGTACCCGTTCCGTTTCGTTCCGTTTCGTTCGTCTGGATCGATGAATGAGTAAGTTTCCTTGTTCACGTATAGAGAGAAAACAGAAAGAGATAGAGAGATAAAGAGAGAGAGAGAGAGAGAGAGAGAGAGAGATAGGAAGAGAAAAGGGGAGGAGTTGTCCGCAAAAGCTTGGAAATTCGTCCTGGACAAGCGCCAGACTGGATTTAACTCATGCAAATTCATGCGACGTACGCGTGCTTATTAGAAAGAGAAAGAAAATGATTTATATAATTGAAAGAAAATAGAAAAAGAGAGAGAGAGAGAGAGAGAGGAATATTTTTAAAAATTGAAGAAAAAAGAAAAATAAATAAAAAAAGAAAGAAGGAAAAAAAAAGAGAAAAGTCGCATTATTCGCATCGATAATCAAAAATTGTACGAGTCGTTGAGCTTTGCAACAAAAAAAAAAAAAAAGAAAATGAGAAAAATGATAAAAACGAGAAAGAGAGAGAGAGATAGGGCATATATGAAATTCGAAGAGAAAAACGAGTAGGTCCGTGATTTCAATTTTAAATTCGACTCGATGAGGAAGAAGAAGAGGAGGAGTAGAAAGAGTAAGAGAAAGAGGAGATGGTAGTGTGGTGGTGAACGAACGCTTCAAAA